TTTTTAATATTATTATTTTAGTACCAATATAATAGTTAGGTATTTAGATAAGGTATAAGCTTAAAAATATATCATGTCTTTTAAGTTTAACATGGATAAACTTAAAACTAAAATATATTACGTATACTTGAATAGGGGTAGTCATGAATTAAAATAACTATATTAATTCTTTACAGTTATTTGAAGGTTAGCTCGAAATAATTCTACATCTTGGAGTTTCCAAAGAATTTCGTACAACTATGGTCCAACACATTCCATTCTCTCAAAGTACACCAACAAATAACATCGTTTATTTAATAAGGCAAACAAAATTCGTACCAACGACAATGGTTATTTCAATACTTACACTGAACATTATACTATGAAATAGTATGTATTTACAATTTAAATAATAATATATTTACCATATTTTATGAAACAAGGTTTTTGTCGAGTACACTTGAGGCTTACATTCAGTTCCTATTCCAAGTCTCCAATCGCCTACTTAGTATTCACATAAAATACTTGACGAACGGATTTTTATTTTTATTCTTTTATAACTTTCAAAGTCAACAAATTAATTTGCACATACCTAGGCAGTAAATCTGACTTATTAGTACGTGGAGTATCTGATGAGTGTGATATATTTTACCCAACTCACTTTTTTTTCAAATAGTATCATTATTTTTAATTCAATATAACCAATGATGAGTAGATAGGTACATTCATTAAGAATAACATTTTAAAAATATATTTAATGGGCTCATCATAATGCAAAGTCCATAGTTCATAAATATAAAAAGTAGCACACATATTAATATATTATTATATAGGTGCTCAATTATTTTGATCAGGTATGCATATTTGATAGATTATTAGAGTTCCTACATAGTTATAAATGATGGATTTAATTTAAGGAAATAAACGTTAGTAATTATTATCATCCAACTAAATAAATATTATATATTATAACATTATACATGAACAACACAATAAGCAAGGTTTTGGTTGTTGGAAACCGGACACTCGAATAATCAAATTGTAGTATCTAGTTGGTCGTATTTATTATGGTATTTCATCCGAATTCCACATAACTGATTACGGAAGTTACCACATCATTGAAACAAACTTTTTTCGAGTTTTGCCTGCTGCAAAGAGAGTTTAAAATTTGCCATCCAATTTTCGTCTAAAACATGTACGAAACACGCCAATCTATACGTGGAAAACTTTCGATTAGATTGACCGACGTAACGTATTTATAAAACAAAAAAAAAATAAAAAAAAAATACACTTTCTCTATTATTTTATCTACATGTCCATATATTATTAAATCTCAAGTTACATTTATAGAGAACAGAGTTCGATGGTTATTTTTCTTTTCTGTCCGTTTTGTTTCGCTGTTCGTCCTCTTTATCCGTTTCCCACTGCTCGGAAATAAATCAGTCTACAGCAGTCCCGTGGGATCGAAACAATTCATTTGGTTCGCAAATAAATATTACGATTTGTTTCGGTGCACACACACTCGCCTGCACTAGCGCACATATAGTATAACAGTGTAATCATTTTCCCAATAAGTGTGCTACATGCAGAACCTACCGACAATCCACGGCCGTTCGCCCGAAGAATCCATGACGTACCGTCCAAAGAATTTGTATATATGACCAGCAGTAACCGCGGTAACGACACAATTTGGCTTCGCGCGTAATTGGAAATTGCCACCGCCGGACGTCATTATATTTTCAATTTCCCTCCAAGTCACTAGGAATATACGCAAGGTGACGAGTCAGCGACTACTGCGACCATAGTACCCACCGTAATATTATACTCCGTCCTATTACCTTTTATAATGTGTTATTGCTCTAAAATTTCAAATCTCTGTTCATTGTGATCTCCCCGATGTCCTCGGTTGCTGTAAATTTGGATTTGTATGCAACAATAATTGATGGTTTTATAACAAATATAACCCACAAGTAACTATAATGACAATGTTATAATCTTTGTCAGCTACATTCGTAGGTAACTATATTATTATATTATCTTTATGTATACAGTATACAGTTAATACTTACATATAAAGTATATATATACCTATATGTAAACTAAACATACTAACTCATTTACTCATTTAGGTATTTGATAAAACAGAAGTAATAGGTACTGGATAGCGTCTTAAATGTATCGTATAGACTACCTATGCAATATACATAGGTAAAATATTATTTTAATTTTGATTTTGTAAAAATACTTTATAACATAAATCGACCGGAACAGATTATTGACATGTCTATTATGTCATTTTAATTTTCCTTGACTAAACACAAAGTGTCCAATAAATAATGTTATATAAGAAAAAATGTATTGATAATAATATTATGATCATGACGCCATGACCTAGTTCCCTTCTCTAAGTTAGAAATATGGGTAATTGCATATTATTCTGTTAACAATACGTTCTGTGTCCACTTATGCCTACTACGCCATATTATTATAATATTGATGATGATAATAATAATAATACTTTAAACACCATCTCTAGTGCGTGTACGCGATTTATAATAATAATGATATGATGGGTACATAACGCATGCCTGTGTCACACTGCTGTACCTATTGTGCTCGCCTTTGTGTATTACGATCCCTTTGTGGCGGCGATCACTGCAAAATATTCTCTAAACGAATTCATGTGCCATTGTATTTTGTTGTGTTTTACAAGCATGCCGACAGTTTATTTTCACAAAAATCAATGGTTTCTATAATAATGCATGATTTTTCAGTATTCTTATTCAAATAAATTTCATTGAAATCCCACATTCGAAATATTCTGCATTTATACTTGTTCAACACATATTCTTAGTACTTGTGTACATGACACATTTTATATTTATACAATTAATAATAATTTTAACAATATAAAAATGCAAGAATCTTAAAGTTATTTCGTTTGTGCACTCATACATATTATTGTAGTTTTTACTGCACATTTGAATTATTGATTTTGAGTCTTTTTATAAAATATGAGTTTATTTGCGTTAGCGTTAAGTTAAAAATTCAGAAACATATTATTATTATTATAATTTTAACGACCGTTATATGGTTGCATCTTACACAGTAAAATTTATTTTTTCACGTTCTAAGAGTATGTATTAAAAATATGTTGTTTTTTTTCTTTTTATTGTTCATGAAATTATACATTTCTGCTTCGACAACAAAGGTATTAGGTACATTTGTGATAAAATAGAAGAACAAAAAAGGAAAATTTAATTATTAAATACAATATATAGTTATAAAAACAATTTGATTATTTATGTACATTACAATATTGTTGGTTTTTTTTTTTAATAGTTTTACATCCATTAAAGTGGTATAAAGTATGAGTTTGATAATTTTTTAAGCCTAGTTTTGATGGAATGTGACGAGTTTTTTATGTATTCGCGACATAGTTCTGAAATATTTAAAAGAATACTTGGTTGAGATGGTTCAACGTTGTATTGAACACATTTACACATAATATTGTTTTATGGCTGCTTTTCCTTGTACATTTCGATTATCGCTTTGAAAGTGTCGTAGGATATTGGTAGTTGGTTGTTTTCGTTGTTTTCGTCGGTTTTGTGACTTCTAATGCGCTATCTATGTTTTCGTTGTCCCGGGTGTTCGATCTTGGGTTTATTTTAGATTTTAGATTCTGAGTGAAACGATGAATGTATTGATTTTACAATGATGTGTGTGTGTTTTTTTTTTATTTTATTTTTTTTTTTTTGTGTGTCTGTCATCACGTTTTTGGACAGTAAAAGTGCTTGGATTTTCTTCATCAGTAGCTTTTCTGATAGGAAAGTGAATCTGTTTGGTACTTTGGGGGGTCAAAAGTAAAAATTCCCCAGTAGTTTTCACAAGCGCCGGGAAAAACAACATAAAAATTAAGGAAAAACGGGAATTTTTACGCAAAATCGGTTTTCCAAAAAATCGATTTTGGTTTTTGGTGTAACTCTAAAAAAAATGAACGTATATACATGAAATTTTGACTGGTTGTTTATATACGCATTTTCTATACACGATAACATTTTCAAAATATTTTGATTTATTTTGAAAATTTTTATGAGCGTTTGAAATTCAAATTTTTACAACATTGAATATTCACTCGATTTCTCATGTAGCGATTTCCTTATTTTGTTGTAATTCAAAAACGAATAACTTCAGATACATGAAAATTTCACTGAATATTTATATTAGCATTTCCTATATACCATACAATTTTGAAAATATTTTGACTCTTTTTGAGCTGTTTATGGACATTTACAGCTTTCAATTATTTTTAGTTTTTTTCTATAAATATCAATAAAGTTTTATCTGTTGGGCCAAAAAGTGTAAAAATTTAATACAAGGCTCCTGATATATTTTTACAATATCATTTGAAAAATATTAAAAATACATAGGCACAGTTTTTTTTATAAGCATTTAAAGATCAAATTTTGACAAAATTTATCAAAATCTCGAAAATTATCAATCATTATAATTAATAAATTATAAAATGTTCAGTTTTTATAGCTAAGGATTGCAAATTTAAAACAAAGGTTCTCATAAATAGTTCATACTGTAACTAAAAAATCTAAAAAATATATGAAGACAGTTATTTTTTACAGATATTTTAAATTCAAATTTCGACGAAATTACATATTAAAAAACCTAGAATAACTATTTTAGTTATTTTGTTGTGATTGAATAATATTATTCGTGGGTACTTGAAACTTCTAAAGTGTACTATTATATATCTATGATAGTATCACAGTTTTTGTTGATGTATAACGCGTTATAAGTACCTAATGGATATTGTGATATGATTAATTTCGAATTTATTATAGGTACCTATTATAGGTCAATTTTTTGTTTAATACCATAGATATGTTTATAATATGTCTTATACATAGACTGACTTACCGTTTCCGCTCAGAATCGTTTGTCTTATACAATGATATTATATCGTTGAATTCAAATTTAATAGCATCCATTATACAGTGACCCACTTGTTACCTACTGTAAAGCAGAGCGATACCCACTTGCCCACCTTTTTTAATTACTAGGTCGCCGTGTGTTTGTGATATTTCGGTTGCTCGTTCGTTATCTTCTTCGTTGATTTCTAGGGTCATTATTTCTGTTGAATTGGATGTAGATTCGGAGGGGTCTTCACTAATTGATATATCTGTGTATACTGTTTCTCTATTGTCAGTTGGGTTTATCAGATGTGTTTCTCGTGTGCAATTTATTTCGGGATTTTCTTCTTGGTTAGGATTTTTTGATGTATTTTGTTTTTCATTTGCTTTCAGTGCCTCAATTTGGTTTACATTTGGGTTTACAAAAGGTATACATTTGTCTATGTTTTCTGTATAGTTTGATGATGTATGTCCAGTTTTTTTGCATCTGTGGCATGTTAAGTAGTCGTCTGTGAAGAAAAGTCTATGATTGATATTTTCGTGTTTTATAAGTATTGAACTTGATATTTTGTTGACGTCTTTGGCCTTTATGTATATTTGCCATTTGTAGTCGAAAACTTTGTATGTTGGTGAATCCTTCTTTCGAGATGCCTGCTCTGAGGTATGCGATTTGACTGGTTGGTATTGCATCCATATTTATGAGTTCCTTTTCGATTACGTCATGAGGGATTGTTGGGCACACAGTAGATATTATTATTTTTTTTTTTTTTATTGATCTTAAGCTTCGGCAACTATGGCCATTAGCTGTAGTGGTTTTTATTTGTGTGTTGTTATGTAGGTAGGGGGAGGAACACGTGTGTGTGTTGGGTTTGGCAGAATTTTGAATGAGGCACCAGTAGGTTTCTGCCATGCCCCGGAGTGGGGGATGGCGGCACTTGTTCTCCGGACACCGTGACTTGCCCGGAGAAAAATACCGCCCAGTGGTCGAGAGGATCGAACCCGCGACCGCCAGCGCCGCAGACGACGTGTCCGACCGCTCGGCCACCTCGTCCCCCAGTAGATATTATTATTATTTTGTCGGGATTGAAATATTTTCTTACTTTGATTGGAATGTTGTTGTTTCGATTTGTTTTGGTTGGTTAAGTACTTTTTCGACCAGTTCGACACTGGACAGGAATATGCCAAAATGGTATTTAGATATACTGGAGATAAAAATAATATTTTCTGGTTTCGTTATTTCTGCTATAGCAAAAACATAATCTTGTTGTTGTATGTTGTCGGTAATCTCGATGATTAAGGCTTGTTCTTTTTTTGGATGTACGCATTTTTAGATGCAATTTTCGCGAATGTATTTGTTTCATTTTGGTCTATTTTTGGGTTGGTTAGTGAGAAGATTTTTTTATTGTTGTTTGGCGTAGGATTGGGTTTAATATTTTGGTTAATACTATTTGTTTTTTGAGGTATATGTTATTGTTAATTAAATGTTGTTGTTTTTTTAACTGTTGATAGTGTTTGATTTCTTGAGTTTGTGTTTGAGAGTGTTACAGGTGCCCCTTTCCTAAAGGGTGATTTTACTGTGATGCTATGGTTTTGAGTTGATTTGATGTTTGTTACATAATAATTATTTTTACATACCTTCAAATTATAGTGTTTGTAGTTGCTTGTGCGAGCATTATCGGGAGAGAGATTTTGGAACATACGATGGTCACGGATAATCTGAACACCCGAACAGAAAAAAAAATATGTTGTATAGGTTAAAAATATATATGTGTTATATTATTATATACATGAAATCTAACTTCACAAAATAAAAATTAAACAGCCAAATATATTTCATTATTTTATATTATTAAATTATAATTATATAGAATACTTTTTAATACCACAAATGACATAGGTACATCCAGCAACACAAACATTAATTATGTTATAGTCTGAGAGTAGCAATTAATGTATTAATTTTACAATGATAAGTGTATTGATTTAATTTTTGTCTCATCAGTCATCACCTATTGGGACAGTCAAAATGCTTAATTTTTCTTCAACAGCATATTTTCTGGAAGGAAAGTGAATCTAGTTAGTACTTTGGGGGTCAACCTATATTCATCCTTTACATTCAATAAAAAAAATGTTTACCGGAAAGTCAATTAATATTTTTCAAGCTTTTGAAGCTAGGCATTTGATATTCAATCCTAAATGAAAAAATTATTATGCAACGATTTTCTTATTTTATCGTTATTCAAAAACTAATAAATTATTTAATAATATTCTATTCATGATAAAAGTTTAAAAATATTTCGAATCGTTTCAAGTTATTTAAATGCTTGAAAATTTAATACAAGGTTCCATATAAGTTGTTATAATAACAATTGATAAATATAGAAGATAGTCACGATTTTTTTCATAAGTATTTTAAGGGGATTCGATACCGCGATTTTCTGTTTTTGTCTAACACACGCGCGACATACTATTTTAGACATGTTTTTTGCTGAACATTCTAATTGATCTATTGAAGCGATAAGAAATCTGAAAACAGATTTGAATTTGTCGTTAAGTCTACTTGAAATGGAATTTCCAAAATTTTTTATATTATCCCCCAAATTCCTAAAAATGTCATATTAAAAAAGGGTATTTAAAAATTGTCGTATTTTAATTTTTGGAGGAGTTAAAATTCAAAAATGTGGGAAAGTCGATTTCAAGTAAACTTGACGACAAATCTGTTTTTAGAATTCTTGTCTCTTCATTAGATCAATTGGTATGTTTGGCAAAGAACCAGTCTAAAATCATATTAACAGATCATTTTACAACAGAGCAACTTCGATTTACCCCCTTTGTTTTTAATTTTTACTTTTGTGTCTAAAAACATAGCTTCCAGTTAGAAAAAAAAAACAGTTAGTTAAAAAACTTTAAAATGTAGTAAAAGGTCCCTTATAAGTTGTCAAAACATGAATTTAAAAAAAAAATCGCCATGAATTCAAAATCTTTTTTGTGAGCGTTGAATATAGACGAATTTCTTTTTATAGTGAAAATATGCACAGTCAAATATTCAATGGCAATGAATACTTGACACCTTACTGTATAGCAGATCGGTTACCTGCTTTTTGTATTTTTAGTCTAAATTTATATTGTAAACTGTTATGAATCGTATTTTTACTAAGCACTTTTTATGTTTTATAATATTTTAAAAATCGTATTAATTGCTTTATTGTGGTAATATTGTGTTTAAATGTATGTTTCATCCACCATTATTATTTATTACGAGTATTCATTTGCCCGAAAACTAGAGAAAAAGTTCAAACGTAATGCTGAAAATAATAATATTTCATTGATTGTATTATATACGTAGGTACTTGTATTTGTAATTTTCAATCACATCAGCTGTTTATTTTTAATATTATACATGTTTACTATCTGTTAACATACACATTACACACCCAAGCGCATATACAATATAATATTATGTTGACATACTAAAAATGATATTCACGATTTTGTGATGATGTAATGGCATTTCTATTGCTCTCCTAAATTATAATAGGTAGATATTTTTGCTTTATGTACACCTATACGTCTGTTTATACCTGTGTATACTGTACAAGAGAGATAAACAAGATAAATATTACATTAAATTGCATGCCATCGCCCAGCGTGATTCTCCACAATTCCTGTATATTCCATTTTCCCGAATACTGTTTTATTGCATACTATGGAGCCACGGAGGTGTTGCATAAACTTATTTATTTCAGCATAATTCAATAACATATTAACTTAGGATAAATTATAGCAATAAGAAGAGCTGATAAGTTTTATACCAACTGAGCAAATCGCGTATCTGATAAAAACTATAGATGTATAAACTAATCCACCAATAAAAATTGTTTAAATTCAAATGTATACTTTTTTATCATTGTTGATCTTCTCGAATAAAATTTATTACTTTGAAGACAGTATGTCAATTAAATATTATTGTATAAGTTTTACATGGAAAAATAGAATTAATAAAACAAAAACTCCTAAATCTATGAATACATATCGTTATAAATTATAATTATATCTGGGTAAATATAAACAAATCACATTATATTCATACAAATAATTTGATATGGAATACTTACTCATTAATAAATTCATACAATTATTTTAACAATTTCGAGAGGGTAATAGAAACGTACCAGGAATTAATTCGTGGCCGTCGAACGATAACAGTGATAGGTTACCTACGGACGTGGGAAAACTACTAATCAAAAATATTAAAAATATACAATATAATAATATTATTATGTACCTATCGTGATGTATAGCAATTTGTATCGGTTTACAGTGCACGTGGTTAGTTTGACCACTTTAACGAACTCATGTCAAAAACAATCGAAGGACGGTTTTCATTGTGCACGCACACAGAGATCGTTATCACTATTATTATATAGCTATTATTATTATCACGTTCGTCCGTGTCCGTCGACGAGCCGGACCACTTTGAACGGATTGCGGTTGGGCTGCTCGCATGAACAATATTTTAAGCATTGACAATAATTATTATAATGTACCATTGTACCATATTATCGTATATTATAATACTAGCTGAACCCGTGCACTTCGTTGCCCCGTTAAATGTACCAACTCTATATGACTCAAACTTTGTTCAATTCGTTATTTAAAATATATAAAATATAAAATTTAATATATATAAAATTCGGTGTATGGCATTCAAAATTTATCTTAACTATTCTGTTGCCTGGAATAAAAATTCTGATTCGCAGCAGTATTATATATCAGGTAGGCAATCTACCTGCGGTAGATCGCAGACCCAGGTGTGTTGGTACGTAAGTGTATGATTTAACTCTAAAGTATCAAAGTTATACCAAGTTTATTTTGATATAATACGGTGGATTAATAAAACAAATTTTGTTTCCCCCTATAAATAATCGCGACTCTTAAAAAAATTATGATTGTTCAACTGCTTTGGGTGTAACTTGCTGCGGTAAGTGCAACTCAGCTACCCTGGTCGGCGCAAGTGTTCAATAATTCGATTTGATGCAAGCTTGTACCTGATCTGCCCGAATAACCAATGGCAACCAATAATAAATAAATGCTAATTTCTACTGTAGACCGTTACCAATAGTTGTTCGTCGGGGGATTTTTTTCCGATTACCCCCTGTTTGAGCACCTATTTAAAATGCGAATTTCGGCAAATCCTTTCTTATTGCACGGTGAAAATATGAGAAGAACCTTAGCTCTATGCCTCTATTCCAAATTTCAAGTCTGTACGTTGAGTAGTTTTTGAGATACAGTGATCACTGATCAGTGAGTGAGTGGTATTTGGATTTTATAAGTATAGATTATTGATGTCGTTTACGGCACCGCCTCGCCGCCGTCGACTGTAATTTACGAAAACGCTATTATATATACATTTCCAAACGCGCAGACGAACACAACACCGTAAATATTTTATAATATGTAACGCACGTCTGAACTGCTGGTAGTGCGGACTCGGAGTGCGGACTGCGGAGACGCGGAGACGCGGAGTGCAAATGAAACGATCGTGTTTAATGTATAGGCACCGTGGCAAGGCAATGGAGAGATAATAACTAATAAATAGAATTTGTATGTGTATTGGTTTATGTTATCGTTCATTATAATTGGTGTACGGGCGATGCATGAGATTATTTTTATCGATAAACTTCTGGGAA